TATGTACATACTTATATGTTTGTTCTAATTAAATCAACTAGCTAAAAAATATATTTTACTATAGTATAAACACAATTTGTATAATTATCAAAATATTTTGTGTCTTTCTATGCAATTCTCAGCAATTCAGCTGGCAATATTAAATGATTTTATATGTTAAAACTATTTTAGACAACCTAAACAAGAGTTTCTAATGCACTACTATGGCTATCTCTAGTTCTATACTATTTGTTCAGCTACAACTACTCTAATTCATTGCATCTACCTGTATGATATTAATATGATAGCCAAAGGTAACAAGCAAACATATCTAGATACATCATGATATAGAAGATATATATGGTAATTCTGATCTGGCTTATACTATATATTAGATATAATATCAAAGTTGATCTGAAACACAATATTGATAATGATAATGATACGACTATCTATATAGATATTACATTTATGGACCATAATCATTAATGGACAAATGCTTAGCCATAGTTGGGGAGTCTGGCGGGGCACTGGCTGCACTTACCATCGATAGCTGAGGCGTTGTTATTGGCGGCCATTGCCGCCTGGGTGATTTCATTGGCTGCAACGAGTCGCAGGCTGTTGGTGCGGCTTGTTGCCGACTCGCTCTGGTTGTCTAGTGTGCGCAAGACGGCATCCTGCCAGGACATGTGATGTGAGCGCGAGCTGGAGCTACTGCTCCGGCTGGCTGGATTGATGGCGTGTATTTGATTTGTTTGAGAATTGAGCATGCGAATGATTTCATCGCTCAGACGACGGAGCACACTGGGCACCAGGGGTGGGCGTGCCTGGCCCACATTCAAACGATTCGGATCGTGGTCAATATTGGCCATGGAATTTGGTCCCGTATCGGACCAATCGCCCCGGAAACGCAATCGCGGCATTTGCGGCTCTGGATCATTGTCGCGCCGCAATTTTGGTGTATAGCAGCCACTGCGTAACAAATCGGCATCATTATAGCCCGGATGATTCAAATCAAATAGGTATAACTGTTCCATCGAGTAGCTGACAAGCAGCTCTGATTCGTCGGCGCTATACTTGACACAGGTGGGACGATAGTGACGACGTGTATATTTCATGGGTATCGGATAGGCCTTCAGCGGCCAGGTGATGCGATCGCGATCCGAGCCAGCCGAGAGCATGCGGCGATCATAGAGCCTCACAATCGAGTCCGAGCAACCGATGACCAGCTTATGGTGGCTAATCGGTGCCACATCCATGGCCGTAATGGCACACGGTGCGGTTATATAGATATGTTTATCGCACACGGACTCCGCACAGCGGCTGCTCACACGCAAATCGATGCAACGCACGGTGCCGTCTTCGCCACAGCTGAGAAAGACCCGAGGAGTGTCCGGTATGGGCAGGACATCGTAGGTGCTGCCAAAGGCATGACAGTCAAAGAAGCTGGCCTGACGACCCGACTCGCCGATGTTCACCTCCTCGGAGGTGCGGCCGGGCCCGTAGGGTGCCAGGAATTCGGTATGCAGAACAATGCCCTCGCCGGAGCACGACACAATCGCCTGGTCATTGGTGAAGGGCATAAAGCGTGCACTGAATATATGACGCTTGTGCTGTGTCTTGGTCCTGGCCACCACACGTCCGCGCTTGGCCTCGGTCACCACCAAATAGTTATCATCCGATCCGGATACGAACAATGTGCCGCTCGCATTCCAATTGACCGTGTTCACGCATCCGCTGTGCACGTTCAGCGTTTTCATCAGGCTCAAGCGCTGCACAAAGTCCAGCGAATCTGGAAATTGGGCAAATGGAAAGAGATTAATATTAATGGGAATATGTATGGATAGATAATCCGAGTCGATTATCTGATAAGTCTCTCTCTCTCTCTTCTCTCTCGCTCTCGCTCTCAACTCACTCTTGCAGCTGGCCTGCAGATTCGATTGCGCCTGGTGCCCATAGTACGGGAAATTGTAGATGCATTCGTTGACGCTGCGTCGCTCTCGTCTGGCGGTCATCTTCGGAGGCTTTACTATACGAAATGTGCATGCACAAATATATATATATATATATAAGTATACATATGTACATATATACCAATCTATATGTATATTTATACTTGTGCATACATATGAAGATTGAGAGGTTTGCTTTGTATTATTAGAAATTTGCCAAATATGACGGCCCGCCGTAGATATGAGAACAGGGAAATAAAACAAAACTACGTACATATACTATATAAAACAAAAACAAAATCTGTGGCTGCTATGACGAATACTTCTATACACTTCTGGAACAAATAAATGTTTGACAAAATTTGTAATTAATTTTGATAATTTAAATTTCATTTTTTAGAATTTTTTGTTCTCTTTTTAGTTAATATTTTTTTTTCAATTTTTTTTCTTTATTTACTAAACCGTTATCAACTAAAATATTAATAAACGATTTAACTATTTTGTTTTTAATTTTCCACATTTGTTGCTGTTAAATTTTATTATTTACATTAAAGAAATCTTATCCCACTTAATTGCACACAATTAAGCTATCGTTTTTATCATAAAATTGTTTTTTATCAGTGAATGCACAACTCTGTTAACAGTGGCTCTCAAACTGTGCATTTGCAAGAAGCAACAAGAATTTATTGCGCTTGCATTTCTCGTGTGTATGCGTAGGGGGTTTGAGTGTGTGTCAGTGTGTGTGTGCGTGGGTATATGCGTTTCTGTGGGCGCCTGTGTGTGTAGGTGTGCAAATTGTTTTGTAGAAGTTAAAAATTATATAAAAATTCAAAACAAAGCGCCATCAACAAATTGTTATTGTTGCAATGACTGTTATTAACAAACTTCAGAGCGCAATCCGCTTTTCGAGTACACTTTGAGCTATTTTGCAAATTTATAAAATCTCATCTTTTTTACCTTGTTTATAGACAGCGGAAAAACATTACAAATCACTCCTTGGCCCAGCAACACACAAACACAAATTCGATATTTATTTTTATTGCGAGCTCAGCTGTAGCACAGAGAGACCGTTTGCAGCATGCACCACAAAGACAAAAAGTTCCGAATGCAAAATAGCGGTTAAAAATACTAAATAATCGTGATGGTAAACCGGGCCAAATGCGTTATTAATTAAAACCACTAACCAGACTAGTGTCAAAATTTAGTTCATGTTTTCCTTGTTGCTTGATATAAAGCTAAGCAAATTGAAAAGAATTTTTGCTGACCTATTCCTTCTGAAATATATCGTTGTAATGAGATTGTCGAATTTAAAACACTACACTTAAACCAAATGAGATATTGAATTCTGGCATTTTGACGGAAAACCCAAGTAAAAATAAAATACAAATTAAATGGAAACACGGACAGGGTAATTATAATAGATGAGCAAATATTCAAAACTCTTATACAAAGTAGTCGATAACAAAAAAAATACTAAATCAAACATTATTATGTTACTATCGGAATTTGACTACACACTTTGCTCGATTACGCCAAGCAATCGATAGCATAGACTAGAGCGGTTAATGTATCGAGACTGCGCTGGTCATACTTTGCCCGCTGTAATTTCAGTCGTAGCTTAATATTCGAGTCGAGCGTGCGCACCTTACGCAGTTTAAACAGTTTTCTCGCTTCAGGCAGCAACCTGTTGCGTTTTTTGTTTGTTTTGTTTTGTTTTTTTAATAGTTGTAGCAGTTGTGGAAAGTGCATTTAACGATAAACCGAGTTGAAACATTAACTCACCTGCTGCAGCAGCCGCACAGAGCGTGTGAACTGTGCGAGTGTCAAACAAATTAGAAATCTTTTGTTTATTCAAAAAATACGGCAAAACAAAAAAAAATTTAAGAGAAGAAAAACAAACAAAACGAGCAAAAGAAATAAAGGTAACGGGCAACAAGTGCTGCTGTTGTTGTTGTTTTTATTAGTGTTGTGCTGCTGTTGTTGTTACTGTTGCTGTTGTTGTTGTTGTTGTTGCAGCGGAAGGTAAATATTGTTTAACTTCGCAAAGCCCAAAATGCAAATGGTATAAATAGTTTTAGCGGCAAAAAGAGAATACGATCTACGAGCATACGATCAGTTTTTTTTAGTGGGTGAATGTGATTGTTGTTGTTGCTTTGGTTGTTGATGATGTGGAAAAGTTAATGAAGCAGCGCCAACTCCCCAAGTATCAAGTGCGAATTTTGGCCATAACCGACTGGTGTATGCCCTTACAATATTTTCAGACTATTAAGAAGAGCTCTTTTTGATGGTGGAAGCTCTTAAAGATCTAATGAATGGCAAACAGTGGATAGTTTAAGCTTTTGAAGCTACAATGCTTGTCAAACTGTGAGAATGTACCCAAGCGCTATTAGAACTAACAAATATGAGCTCTTCATGTTCAATAATTGTCAAACTATGCAGTCGAATTTGTATTGTTCATTGGAGTTTTTCATAGGCTACCGACTACCAGATACTTTAACATTATTGGAGCTCACAAATATGCACTTTAAGCTCAATGCTTGTCAAACTATGCTGAATGCTCAATATATAAATTATCCAGTAGAAAAAGAGCGAGAAAGAAATTTTTTCTCACAGTTATAGCCGACTATCATATACCCTACCGGCATTGAAAACATTTAGCAAGAGTATTTTAAACCATGTTTTGATTACCATTGCAAGCTCAGTCAAACTGTAGAGTAGCGTTTAGATCGGATATAGTCAGTATCGGCGGATCATTATATTTATGGGTTGATTTTTAAATAAACGTTTTTATTAAATGTATTCCTATAGAAGATTTCTGTATTATAGATATGTATAGATCTAATTCTGTGCTAAGATCAATATCTATATCTAATGTCATCAATGATGTCATTCAATAACCTCTGTTAGATTTGCAGATCAATGCCTATATCTAAAACCAGGTTTCATATCCATAACTAATTTCTAAGAGGTGATTAAATAACTGTCGTACGATTTTGAGATCAATTCAGTATTTAAAGCAAAGATCATGCTCAAAATGGACTCCTATAGTCATACATATATCCATAGCTCTAATTTGTTTTTGAGATCACTATCAATAGCCAAAGCGCAAATAGCATGCTCACAGTCTAAATATGTATCTGAAATTATTTGCTCAGTTTGAAGTTTTAAGTACTATTATTATTAAAATACTCCCACAGTATTTTGCTTGCGCGTTTATTTGAATGCGACTCGACGATATATCATTAAGCAAAGCGCCGCTGATTGAAGATGTTAGCAATGAGCGTGTCATCGAGGATCGTCTATTTTATCGGGGTTATACAAATAACATAATATATATATATATACATGTATATGTATATCTATGTCTGTGTCTATGGCTGATAGTAGTATTTGTGTCAATTGTTGGCTCGAAAGAATAACAAATTAAAAATGCCAACCAGTTTAGTCACGCCGCCTGTAACTCGGTACCGTTAGCCCCCTATCTTGCCTTGCCATAGAACTTGGGGCTATTGTTGCTGCTGCTTCTGCTGCTTTTGCTTCCACTTTTGTTGTTGCTGCTGCTGCTGCTGCTGCGGTTGTTGTTATTGCAGATTCTAAAAAGCTGCACATTGCTTTTTTGTTAAATGCCATCGCATAGAAAGCGACARGCGCAATACAAAAGCATCAACAAATACGTTTTTTATTTATTTTTATTTTTATTTATTCTTTTTTTTTTTTTTGTGGACAATAAACTGGATTGGGTTAGAGGGTCAGAGGCCCACAATTAGCCAAGTTGAGAACTCTAATGAACTTATATAGGGCAGATGAACGCCTCTGGGGGAATAGCTGAACGAGATGATTTATTATTATTTACTTGAGGCTGCCAGTCGAATATGAGATTTCTGATAAAAGTAGACAAATATGATATGATATGATATTCTGACTTGCATAAGAATTTGCCTATATATAAGGTATATGGGTATATATTTGTGTATTTAATTTAATGGATCACGTTTTAGCATCATAGAGAGTAAAAGATATGATACCCTGAATTTTTGTATTTAAGCAAAACAATAAACAAATTGACTAACAAAACTTTTAATTAGCCGCCTGACTTAAGCTCCAGTGCACTTAATACATATATTTAAATATTCTGCTATCTATCTGTCTATCTAATATCTAATAGATAAGGTCTAAGCATCATTTAAAGGAATGCTCTGATTTAGATCAGGATTGTGACATACTTAAGAATTGTAGACCGTTATAGGCATATTGATATAGCTATAGAAAATGTCATAGATATGACAAAAAAGATATGGAAATATAAATGGATGGATAGTCGCACGGATAGCAAGGCGGACATTGAAATAACCCAATAT